TCAGCTCGCGCACCAATCCGAATAGTGCGGCTCGATTGTGTGCTAATTTGGCAATTAAATTAAATTGATATAAATTCAGTCTGACCAAGACGGCCGTGTGAACTCTTTCGCCCGTCCACCCAGCCTCCTCAGCGCCGTTCAAGCGTCGCTTTCATCGACCTCGTTGCCTAGCGCTGGACGATACTGGGAAGTCGCGGCGCGGTCGACCTCGCGCTATTCGGCGATGAAACAGACGTAGAAGATTTGATGCAATCATTTAGTGGTGATGACGGACGAAACATTCGCCAATGGCTAGACGAATTAGACGAAACAGCCGAAATATGTGGATGGAAATCACAAAAAATAATCTACGCAAAGAAACTTTTGCGAGGATCGGTCGAAGTGTTTGTTTCCTACGGGAGACATTTGAAGATGTGAAAAAAATTAAAGAAGTCTCTGATTTCAGAATTCGGAAAAGCTGTCAATACTAAAACGGTTCATCAGGAGTTGACTCGTGCAAAGAAAAGAGTTGACGAGACCTAACAGGAGTATATGTATCACATATTAGAGATAGCAAGTCATGCTAATATCGAAATTGAGGCAAAGATGCAATACATAATAAATGGTATATCCGACGATATCTTTAACGAAAGTGTTTTATATGGTGCACGAAATTTGAAGGAACTGTGCAAGAAGCTGCTTCAATATGAGAGTATGAAGGTGCAGCAGCAGAAGACCTCAACGACCAGAGAATAAACCAGGGCGAAAACCGAAGAAACTGGAGACAGAGAGTCGAAAGCCTAAGGACAAGAAACGATGTTACAATTGCGGTGGTAGGAATCACCTGGGTATGAGCTGTCCTCATAAGAAGAAGAGAGTCAAATGCTTTCAATGCAGCCAATTTGGACATGTAGCAGCAAAATGTGAGAAAACAGTGAACCTAGCCACATGAATGAATGCAGGGTAGACATAAGACGAGATAATCGTATTTATAAAACTGTCGTGATAAGGGCCATCAAGGCACCGTCATTCCCCCACCCCCCTTCCACCCCTCTTCCACCCCCCTTCCACCCCTTTTCACCAGCACCACCTCGGCGGGGGAGACCACGAGACGGAGCCGCAGGGCCCCGAGGCCCAGCGAGGCAAACGGCAGTAGGAGAGGAGGGCAGAGGAGAGGAGTCCTACCTCCCCTTCCCCACTCCCAGCGCCGACACTACGTGGCGCAGCCAAGCGCGGGGCAGGCCACCAGCTCCCCAACCTTTCGCCCATCCCCAGGACGGGGATCGGATGACAGCAAGGGGGGGGAGTGCATGACGACTATTAGTCGTCGTCGCTAAATGCCTCCCCTCTCGGCCTAAAAGACCCGCACGCATTATGTGCGGGTCAGTAAAGAGGGGGTCCTTGGGACTGACCCCCTCGTCTTTCAGGCGAGAGCTGCCCGGCGGCTAGGGGACCTTTTCCCCCGTAACCGCCGGGCAGGAGGGTGGGGTTCTGGACAGGGACTCCCGGAGTCTCATCCAGTCCTCTTAGAAAGGGAGCGGCGAAGTAGTGGTGGCCTACCTCGTCGCACAACATCAAAGGCGGCGCCCTGTCTGGCTGGGAACGGTGGTCGAGATCGACTTCGGTCGGCCTCCCACTTCCCAGCACTACAGACGGGACGTGAGGGGTGGAGGAAGAACAGTGGTTGAGGAGAAGCTTTGGCTCAGTCTTCCCCTCTTCCAACCCTCAGGGATAGACAACGTAGCCGTCTGGACTCGGGGCCCCGATTGCAGTTATGCGGCTCCGCGGCCCTGAAGCAAGTCCCTTCGCAGTGCCACTTGGGGAGGTTTTAGCCGGTAGGGGTCCGGCATAACCTCGGGCCTTTCTCCGAGGGTCCGAGGTATCCATGATGGATTCCCTTCTCGTAAAAAAAAGAAATATATATATATAACACAATACATGTTACGCATTTACTTGGCGCTTTTTTTTACCTTTTTGTTTAAAAAGGTAAATTTTATAAATTTTACTTGTAAAATTAGGTTGAGAAAAAGATAATTTTGGTTTACATGTTACAAACATATATTAGGTGTACAAATGAATAATCCAATTTTTTCAGCTACATTCAAGGTTTATTTTAAAAGAAAGTAAATTAAATTGTTCAATTAAAGTATTCGTCGTTGCTTTCTATAACTTTAAGCCAGAGCTGGAGACTAAGTGCCCTTTTCGGCCGGATTTCAAGCGGTGAAACCCACCGTTCCCCTTCCACCGCTCCGCGCTCAGCGGCCGAGGCGACGATCGCGGATCGCTCAGGCCCATCGCTACGTAAGATGTCAGCTGGAGGGTACCCTCGTGCTTTATTATAATTATAATTTTTTCCTCCCTTAATAATCGCTTTAAAATATATATGTTTATGTGTTTTATACACACATACATATATATGTATATATATATATATATATATATAATTACAACATAATGAAAAAATGACATAAAAAATATATAATTAAAGGATTATTGCAATAGATTTCCACATCACCTGTGAGGTACTATTGCTGATACGTTTTTTTAAAGTGCTTTCCCAAGTAGGCCTACTCCACTAAATAATAAAGAATAAATACGATAAAATGTATGGCTCGGCAGGAAAACTAGATGAAAAGAAGTAAATGATTATTTGGGAACAAGTAAACTAGGATTTCCTGGGTCGTTTAGACTGTACTATAGATGATATATCCAAAGACATTTTAGAAGAACTAGCTCTCATCAAGGAAGAAAGAGAAGTACCATTTAAAGAAGAACGTTTATTAAAAAATGCGTTATTGCAGCGGTCGAATCATTTGGAGATTCGATGATTTTCGAAAAAGCTGCAAGCATTCCATTAAATCTGTAAAATCACGGATAGATGATACAGCTTCATCTCTAAAAGAGAAATTAAATTGTTCATTTGCGTCTTATTCGTATTATTCATTATGTATTTATGAGAACACCGATAATCGGCATATGGATCAACTGTGTATTTTTGCTCGAATCGTACGTAAAACGATTTTTCACATGTCAAAGACCTCTCAGACTTTGTATCGTTGCAAGGGAGAACAACAGGTGTTGAAATCTTTAACGCTGTTAGCCAAACTCTGCAAAAGTTTGACATTGATTTCTACAAATGTTCGGCTGTAGTCACCGATAGCGCAAAAGCAATGATAGGTTTGAAGAAACGGCTTCTTTGAACAAATAAGACAGCAAGGTTTTAAAATCTCTGTTACTCATTGCATTATTCATCAAGAAGCGCTGTCTTATAAGCTTAACCCCTTGACTGTGAATGACGTAAATATGCGCATGAAAATTTTTCCTCTCCGGCGTACTCTCTGCTCTAAAATTTTGTTTCCCTGCTGAGCAATACATAAAATAGTTCATGGTTTATGTCCAAAATATCTACAAAACAAAGTTGAATTGGTGCAAAATATACATAGAAGAAATACAAGACAAGTGGGGAAATATAAAGATAGGTAGATGTAAGACTACAGAACAAAAAATGATATTACATGATGGGATGAAATTATATAATTCATTGCTTGGCAAGATAAGGAGGAAGAGAAGGATTCAAAATTTTAGAAAGTTGCTGGCGTGTCATATTAAAATGAGGGAGAGAGCAACATATATAGAGTAGTTTTAAGTAGTGGTGTTAAATATAAGAATTAACAATGTGGAAGTGTATGTACTGGCGATTATGTATTGTGTATTATTATTATTGTAGCTATGGCAGCTAATAAATGACAATCATCATCGTGATCATCTCTCTCTCTCTCTCTCTCTCTCTCTCTCTCTCTCTCTCTCTCTCTCTCTCTCTCTCTCTCTCTCGCTCTCGCACATTTTCTCCTATTGTATTCTAGCATTTTCTTCTTTCTTTCACTCTTTCTCGCTTGCTCGCTCGTATTCGCTGTATGCTTCTTCAGCACTCTCGTAGCTCCCCTGGTGTCGGAAAAACGAAACGCATATCCCCACTCCTCCGCGTCCGAAGATTTTTTACCGAACCGAAGTTTTCCGTGATTCGGAATTTATCTTAAAATACTTCCATTTAGAGACAGCGTACACAGAAAACACACTTTTCTTTCTGTTTTTTGAAGCCGAATCTATTGGGACTGAAAAAACTTCGATCGGTTTAACCGTTGCTGAGATATAAATTTAAATATCTCATCTCATTTCAATTCGCAGTTTCGCGTAATATAGGCACGGTGTACCTTACGCCGTTCGGGCACAATTTCTTTGCGCTTGAACTTGGCGCAAAGCACTACCGTGCCTCTTGATAGATTTTGAACAATATTTGCATTTTTTAAATGTTTCATGGCGACCATATTGAGTCCGCTATTTTGAATTTTGAATTTTTTGTTCTAAATTCAAACGAGAAGGACATTACACAAAACCTCTTTACACCAAGTTTTATGAATAGCGGTCAAATACTTTCTAAAATATGAAAAGAGATTATGCGCATATGCTTCCTGTCGTCAAAAGGTAAAACAAACTTTACTCATTCTAACCATGTTCCCAACATTTCAGGATGAAATAAATGTCACTTTCCTTTCTTAAGTAGTCCAAATAATAATTCTCTAATACGTTTTCACTTTACACTTGTAGACCAAAAATGGCCTCTTTTTAACATCCTTCTTTTGATTATCAATGTTATTATAATTTATATCTACATTGTCGAACAAACTACTGTTTGTAATATTCGATGATGTTGATTTTTGTATGGCAAAAATAATTTACTCGATGTATCACTTCCTGATTTTATCAGCATTTAAAATTTTATAGGCAACAAAAACTTTTTAAGATAATTGATAGATGTGCTTTAGAAAACGAAACTATACTGCGTCTTTTGCGCTGACGATTCGTTAGTCGTCATGACATTTCATTCTGCTTCTCATTATCTTCTAGCTGTACTTTAACTCACGCGCCGCTTGAACGGTAAGGTGATAAAAATGGGTGTCGCGTTTAATGTGCTAGTTTAGAAAACTTATTCATAAATAAATAATAGTTAAAAAGTGAGCTACCTATACTTCTTCGCCTTACACAGTCGAATACCATCAATGATAGATGCGTGATTTAATTCGTCGCTTAAAATTGTATCATCAGAAGTCAATAAAGCTTCAAAAATCCCAGCATTTGCATCGAAACAAGATGCATAAAGTATAGCATCTTCCCTGCCGTGAAATGCGGCGATTTTTTTCTCTAATTCAACATGTATTTCTTGTGTCCCACATATAAATCTCACAGAACTCAAACCAGCTCCATATTTATCCAGTGCAACTTTTGCTGCATTAATAATATTTTCGTTGTTCTGAAAGTTGAAGATTGAAAAGAATTATTATTTTTCTAATTTGTTTCATTTTTTATAAAATGTAGTAATAGAGGAGTTTCTCGAGAGAGATAAAATTATGGTGAAAAAAAAAATGACAAAAACAAAAGTAAAAAATATAAAACAAAATATTTTCATAATAGGTTTCATTCTTAACATTTTGATGACTGCACATTTTGCCTGTTGACTGTCACTTGACGCCGATATTTCTTGCGTATGTCGTTCTCCCCTAACGCTGACACTTTATATTTAATTTTTCTCAATATTTTATGAAAAAACTGCGCTGAAGTTATCTTTATAACTTAAATTTAATTTATTAGGTGTATAAATAAATAATCTAAATTTTTCAGCTAAATTCAAGGTTTATTTTGAAAGAAAGTAAAATATATTTGTCAATCAAAATATTCGCGTTTGTTTTCTATAACTTTAAGCCATTTTTCAGACAGCTGAGGAATTTCGTGTCGGAAAAATGTTGTCTTTGGACACGATAAAGTCATCAAGCTATTTTCGAATCTCATCCACTGATTTGAAGTGAGTATCGGACAAGGTATGTTGTATCAACCGGAACAAGTGATAATCGGTAGGAACGATGTCTGGTGGATGCCGGGTGCTGCAAGACTCAGCCAAGATTCATTATGTTTTTGTTATAGAAGCAATGTGTGGTCTAGCGTTATCATGCAACAATTTCACAGAATATTCTTTTTTGCCACTATACAGGAGTTTTCACTCCCATTCTTGATTCAAACGAATTAATTGGTGTTAATAGCGGTCCGCAGTAATTGTTTCATTCGATTTTAATAGCTCATAATAAATCACGCCCTTCATATCCCATCAAATGCAGAGCAGAATCTTCTTTCAGAAGTGCTTTGGGTTTGCGACCGACGTTGATGGCTCGCCGGGATTTACCCATGACTTTCTGCATTTCGGATTGTCATAGAGTACCCACTTCTCATCGTCCGTAACAATTTTCCATAAGAAGGATTTTCTACGCTGCTTATTGAGAAGAGGAAAACACTTTACCACTCGTTGATTTTTGTTGGCTTCAATGAATTCATGTGGAACTCATTTTCCTTCTTTCTAAATCTTCCCCATCTCGTATAAGCGTTTAGAAATAGTTTGTTGCGTTACTCGTAACTACTCTGCAAGCTCTTTCTGTGTTTGTGCTGAATTTTCAGCGAGTAGTTGCTCCAAAGCATTGTTGCCGCACTTCCGAGGGCTTCCAGGACATTTTTTTACACTCATTCTATATTTGCCGCTTTTAAACCGTGTAAACCAAAATGCACATACATCGTACGATACAACACCTTCGCCGAGAAAGGAATCAATTCGCATGCTCTTGCAGCATATTTTCCTTGTTGGAATTCGTAAAGAATGCAGTGTCAGTTATGCACCTTATCTGTTACCATTTTTCACCGTACTGAACTGAATAAAATGACCGCATACCGGCGAGAGTTATCAGATCGATTGGACCGCACTGTGGCCTGAACGACTGCAATGCTTTTCCAATCATCTATTTCGACGCGCACTCCTCCATCAGATTTGTGTTATTAATAACTCGATAATTATTGCGAATATCATAATAGGAATTTTATATTTGTCTTAATCGTTCTGTCTCCATGAGTTTCTAGTATTGAATTATGCGACATCCTGTATACAGGGTAACTTCATAATTTCAAACGGAATCTCCTATAAAATGTTACATATTTAGATTCTACGAGAAGAAACAAGTATTAATAAATTTTATCTGGAACATTTTTTTTAAATACTTCTATAAAAATTTAAATTTTACAATAAAATGCATTCAAACTAAAGTAATAAAATCATAAATTAAATAAAAGTTTCCATAGTTTTTCACATTTTTTACTTTATTCGAACTATTCACCACTTACATTTAAACATTTATTAATTCTTTTTACAAAATGTTGTCTAACTTTAAACAACATTTCTGGTCATGCTAGCGCAAGCTTCACGTATTCTTCGTTTTAAATCTTTTTTTATCGTAAGTGATTGAAACATAACTAATTCTTTGATATATTCCCATAAAAAATAATGGTATAAGATCAGGTGAACGAGGAGACCAACTTGAACAAGACTTCCCCGACTTATTCATCTGTTACCAATATTTCGTTTGAAAGAGTACGCGTAGCTTTGGAAAAATGAAAAGGTGCACCATCTTGTTGAAAGCACATTTCTCTTTTCACATTACCAGGTATGTAAATATGAAACCGGAATTTTTATATAGAAAATACACGTTTATTGTATGAAAATGATAAAAAATATTTTATTCCAAGTATTGCCCATCGCTAGCTATACATTTTTCCCACCTCTCTGACAATTTGTGGATGCCACGCCAAAAAAACTGTTGCTCTTTTGAAGCAAACCAGTCATCGAGCCATTTTCGTACATTTTCGTAAGAAGTGAAACGCTGCTCAACAAGTGCGTGTCCCATCGATGCAAATTAGTAATCGGACGGAGCCAAGTCTGGTGAGTAAGCCGCAAGCGAAAGTATTTCCCAACTAAACGCCTCAATCGTTCCCTTGACCAGTTTTGCTATGTGTGATGGTGTATTATCATGAAGCAAAATCACTTTGTGTTGTCTTTTTTGATATTCTGGTCGTTTTTCACGCAAAGCTTGATTCAAATCGATCATTTGTTATCGGTAGCGTTCAGTATTAACGGTTTCGCCAGGTTTTAGCAGCTCATAATAGATCGCACCCTTCTGATCCCACCAAACACAGAACATTTTCTTCCATCCATAGCGATTTGGCCTTGCAGTCGATGTCGATAGTTCGCCCGGAGTTACCCATGATCTTTTACGCTTAGGATTCTCAAAATATATCCACTTTTCATCGCCAGTCACAATTCAATGGAGAAATGACTTTCTTTTGTACCTGGCGAGCAGCATTTCACAAGTGGTTTTTCGGTTTTCCTGCTGTCTTTCATTCAGTTCATATGGAACCCATTTTCCCATATTCTGGATCTTTTCCATGGCTTTCAAACATATGGAGACGGCTTCTCGTGTCATATTTAATTAATTCGCGAGTTGTTGTTGCGTTTGAGAGTCATCCTCATCCAACAATTCTTGCAATTCGCTGTCTTCAAACTTTTTCGGTGGTCTTCCACGTTCTTTGTTTTTCACGTCAAAATCGCCATATTTGAATTTTTTAAACCACTCAAAGCACTATGATTTACCAAGAGCATGCTCACCGTAAGCTTCGACAAGCATTCGATGCGATTCTGCAGCAGTTTTCTTCAAATGGTAACAGAAAATCAATGCTGTCCGCAAATCGTAGCTTTCAGGCACAAAATGCGATATGTTCAACACTATTACAAACTATGCTGTTGTATGAAATTTGTATTGTTGTGAGTTGAAAATCTTTGTCAGATGTCAACAAATGGAAATGGCGCCAATGACGCGGTTCGACGGTAATTACATTGACAGCTAGGACCTATGGCCAAATTCCAGTTTCATATTTACAGACCTGATAAGTGATAAGTTTCCCAGAAGTAGAGAAAGATGATTGCTCAATAAATTACAATAGAATTCAGTATTAACCATATCGTTGAAAAGGTATAATCTAATTACAAAATCACCAATTATTCCACACCATACATTTAGGGACCAACGATGCTAGAAAAGAAGTACTCATCCAGTGAGGATTCTCATATGATCAATAGTACATATCTATTATATCAATAGTATTATATCTATTAAAATGCTCAATGTTGGAAAATTGTGCTTTATCCGAAAAAAGAATATTTTACAAGAAATGAATCATTTACCATGGCATCACGTCCTATGTACTCGCAAAATATAATATTACACGATACTCATAATTAGCTTCCAAAGTTCTTGAGTAAAAATTAAATGATACGGATGAAAATTTTGTTCTTTTCAGAATTCGCTATATTAAAGATCGTGTAAGTACAAATATATTTGCTAATTCACACTGGCTATCTACATTAACATGTGGATTAATTTTCATTCCCAAGCAGAACAGAAAATTATAATGATATCAAAATGACGTCAAAATGACGAGGAAATCTCATTTTTCATCATGATTCGATTCTTTTCTAATAATTTTGATCTCATTTTGATGTCATCATGATTTTCTGTTCTGCCTGAATTGCTGCAAGAATGTTGACGCTGTTATCATAATTAATTACTTAGTTTGCTTTTTATCTTTTAACTGCACTTAATTTACTATGCACACGTAAACGCTTTTCCAGACGAATAGATGCCATACGCGACTTTTTAATACCAACGTTTATAAAATATTAGGTGATCAAAAAAGTTTTGGGTTTTTTTTGCAAAATTCAATCTTTATTTAAAACAAACAAAAAATATTAATCAGCGAAATATTCCCCGTTTGCATGCGATTACCTTTTGCCACTTTTTAGGTAGCTTGCGAATTCCCTGGTGATAGAAGCTCACCGGCTTTGAGGCGATAAAGTCATCAATGCATTTTCGTATTTCTTCAAGTTTCACGAAATATGTATCAGCGAAGTAATGCTGCAGCAACCGGAATAGGTGATAATCAGAAGGCACCATGTCTGGGCTATACGCCACGTGCGGGAGAAGTTTCCAATATAACGCTAAAATATGGTTCTGAGTATTTTTCGCAACATGTAGTCGGGCATTGTCATGAAGCAAGATCATTTTATGACATTCCTGGCTAGTAAATGGTTTCGTTTCTTTCAACGCATGACTTTATTAGTCAATTGTTGTTAATAGTGGTCTGCTGTGATTATTTCACCGGCTGTAACAACTCATAAGTGTACGTCTACAACCTTGCTTTAAGAGGATGTAAGCTCTAAGCCGTAAGTGTTAAGTGGCGTCATTTCCGTCTCTAAGACATTCCCGAGCAGTATTTAAGCTTTAGCCGTTAGATCTAAGCGAATTGCGCAAAACTCAATTCCTACGGCCTAAAGCGTAGAGCTTAAAGTCGACATATAATTTTCAGCCAATCAGCGAAGAGGAC